AACTAAATCAACAATTGGCATGTTAGTTAATGGTTCATTCGTAAATGCTCTCATTGACAGTGGTAGCACTGATAGTTTTATTCACCCTCGATTGGTACAAAAACTAAACCTAACAGTTCATAGACAAAACCAAAAACAGGTATCTATGGCTTCATCATCTTTATCTAGTACAGTTTGTGGAGTAGTTTTTGTCAATATTTCAATAAAAAATGAGCATTATAAACTAGTAAAACTTAACATCTTAAATGAGTTATGCATGGATGTTATTCTGGGTCTCGATTTTCAAAAACAACACAAAGCTGTAACCCTTAAGTTTGAAGGAAAAAGACCCCCACTATTAATTTGTGGTTTGTCGAAGTTGAATGTATCTCCCCCTAGTTTATTTGGCAATTTATCGCCTAACTGTAAACCAATAGCTTCAAAATCTCGTCGATATAGCAAAGAAGACCAATTATTCATTGAAATGGAAGTACAACGTATGCTTAAAGAGGACATTATCGAACATTCAAATTCTCCCTGGAGAGCTCAGGTAGTTGTAACTAAAGGAGAACGCTCTAAGAAAAGATTAGTTATTGACTACAGTCAAACAATAAATAAGTATACTCAACTAGACGCTTACCCATTACCAAGGATTGATGATCTGGTAAACAAAATTGCTCAATACAAAATATTTAGTACAGTTGATTTGAAATCAGCCTACCATCAAATTCCAATTACCAAAAATGATAGAAAATTTACAGCTTTTGAAGCAAATGGGAGGTTGTTCCAATTTAAGCGAATGCCTTTTGGAATTGAAAATGGGGTTGCTTGTTTTCAACGTACCATAAACGAATTTATAGAAAAGGAAGGACTTTTAGATACTTATGCTTATCTAGATAATGTGACAATATGTGGTAAAACCCAAGAGGAGCATGATCTTAATCTGGAAAAATTTCTCAAGTCAGCTAAAAATATAAATCTTACTTATAATCATGATAAATGTAGCTTTTCCCAAGATAAAATTTGCATTCTTGGTTATCTTATAGAAGAAGGAAAACTCAAACCAGATCCCAGTCGTCTTCAACCTATGAAAGAAATGCCTCCTCCTCATGATGCTAAATCCATGAAGCGTATCATCGGACTATTCTCATACTACTCTAAATGGATTCCAAACTTTTCCGATAAGATAGCTTCTCTTACCAAAAACACCAAGTACCCATTAGATCATCAGTGTGTAAATGATTTCAATCAACTCAAACAAGACATTGCAAATGCTGTGACAGATTATGTGGACGAAAATGTTCCATTTGAAGTAGAAACAGACGCATCTGACATTGCTATAGCTGCAGTTCTTAATCAAAATGGCCGCCCTGTAGCTTTCTTTTCAAGATTACTTCAAAAATCTGAACTCAAACATCCCTCTATTGAGAAAGAAGCTTGCGCAATAATAGAAGCAGTCAGACATTGGAAACACTACCTTACTGGACGCCATTTTAAACAATGTCATAATTATAGCACTATCGTGCTATAATTATGACATTGTTTACAGGGAAGGGAAACTAAATATTCCAGCTGACACATTTTCTAGAATACATTGCTCAGCAATAAACACTAACAACTTAACTCAGCTTCATCAATCACTCTGTCATCCTGGAGTAACTAGGTTTTATGCTTTTATTAAAAACGTAATTTACCTTTCTCAATTGATGATGTTAAACGAATAACTAATCAGTGCAAACTATGTTGTGAATGTAAGCCTAGATACTACAAACCACTAAAATCTAATTTGATAAAGGCGACACAACCACTGGAACGTTTGAACTTAGATTTTAAAGGACCTCTTCCTTCGGAAACTAATAACAAGTATTTTTTAACCATAATTGATGAGTATTCTCGTTTTCCTTTTGCAATCCCGTGCCCTGATATTTCAGCTCAGACTGTAATTAAGTGTTTGTCACAAGTATTCTCGATTTTTGGTTTGCCAAGTTACATCCATTCCGATAGAGGTTCAGCCTTCATCAGTAAAGAATTAAAACAATACTTACTAGAGAAAGGTATTGCGACAAGTCATACTACAGCATATAATCCACAAGGGAATGGACAAGCCGAAAAGTATAATGGAACTATAATGAAGTCTATTGAGATTGCTACTAGACAACACAATTTACCCATCAAAGCTTGGGAAAAAGTATTGCCAGACGTTCTCCATTCTATAAGATCCTTAGTAAATACTAAAACAATGGAGACACCTCATGAAAGAATGTTTAAGCACCTTCGTAAAACAGCCTCTGGATGCACTTTACCTTCATGGTTAAGTCATCCTGGACCAATACTAATGAAAAGACATTTACGTAATAATAAGTATGAACCACTGGTAGACGAAGTGCAACTCATAGATGCTAATCCTCAATATGCTCACATAAAGTATCCAGATGGAAGAGAAACCACAGTTTCCCTAAGACACTTAGCTCCAACAAGTTCTGCTCCGATCATTGATCAAACAAACGATATTGAACCTTCACCAGAGAATGCCTTTAATAATATTAAACCTTCACCAGAGAATGCTTTTAATAAACCTTCTTACCCCTATAAACCATTAACACCTGAGAAATATGGGCTTACCAATACCAATCCTGAAAACTTTCCTAACCAGCCTCCCCTTTATCAACCTCCGCCAGCTGAAAATCTTGTCAATGATGCTTGTCCAATCAATCCATTGTTATTAATAACACCTGGAAAAGACACACGTAGATCCTCAAGAGCAATTCGTCGACCATTACGACTTATAGAAGAAGATACATGAAAAACCTTGTTTGTATTATAGAGTATTCTGTTTGTATTATGGCTGCAGAGAATGTTGTGTTTTGATTATTTTAGATTATGTTTTTATGTTTTGATTATTATGATTATGTTTATTTTAGAGTAGAAAAACTTAAGAATTAAAATATTGTAGTTCTTTATACAATTGCTTCAGATTGATTACATTTGGTAGATTCTGTATATCCCCCTAAAGTTGGCTAAATAGGTACCAAATTTTATATCATATGTGAATCCAAATCTAGATAATTTTAATTTATACTAGAAAGGGGATATTTGATAATTACAAAGACCATGCGATGGGTTTACAAATTGTTATAGCTTTGATAAAGCATATCTTGTATTTGGGTCTCTGTATAACAGCAGACAAGTCTTATGCCTTTTTAACACTTGCCAGTATTTTGTTACAAAATAAAGCTAATACAATCAAAGCAATAAATTAAAATTCAGAAGATGTTCCAAAGGTTCTGCAGAAGAAAAAGTTAAATAAAGGAGATGTATGTGGATACCAATGAGGAAAAATAGTATTATAAAATGGTCAAAAAGGACTTTACCTTGTTATTAACCCTTCACAGTATAATTGATGAGTGTAGTAGCTCTGTGGGGAGTATGGACAGTGTTAAACATGACCTTACTATCTTGAAATGAAAAAGTGTAGACTTAACAGTTTGTTATTCATTTGTCATTTGCATAAGGCAGCAAGTTATAAAAACAAGTTAGCCGTTTAGATTAGATCTTGTGGAACAGATTATTGAAAAATATGGAACATTTGTGATGCCCATCTTTAACAACGTAAGTCATCTTTACTCACTGTTATATTTAATTGGTAGACATTTTATGGAATTAGTTCCTCTTACATCTATTAAAGAAAGGTCTACTTGACAGAGCAAAGTGGGTTGAAAATTGAATAGGAATGAAAATGAGAAAAAGTTATGAAACGAAACTATATATTATTGTCCCGATTGTGGTGTAGGGTTATGCATAATATTTTAAAATAAATCATGCCAAAAAAAATTACTAAATTATTTCCATAAAATTTCAAATAATATTTGTTCTGATATAATGTAAAAAAAATTGTTAAAAAATGCGGTAATAAATATATTTAAAAACTTGATAAAAATTATAAATTTCACAAATTAGAGACAACCTTTCTCAATAAGTTTCAACAGTGAAGTGCACATAATTATAAAAGAGTGTTTGATTTTTTTTTGTTCTTACAAGACATATTGAGCCTTTTTAAGAATGGCATTTATCTAGTGATTTTGTATTTCTAGATTCATACAAGCATTTCATTCTCATTATTTATCTAGTTAAATACTTAGTGTGTGCGACCAGTGACCTGTGAGTGCTGAATTTAATAGTTTGTTCATAGTTTTCACAATCAGAATCAAAGGCATGACATTCTTTTTGTAAACAAGCAACTTTGAGCTATTAACAAAATATATGTTGTTATCTGAACTGAGAAAAACTTTTAATTGTGTTTAGATTTTTTAATATTTTTCTAATATTTTCTTAGATTTGTAAAAACTATTTACCATTAAATATAATTTATTCTGTCAAAATAACATAAAGTTTAGCCATTCTCATAATGAGAAAAATTGCAATTTCGATACACTTGAGCAGCTGAAGTTTTTTTATATAACTTAATTAAAGATGGAATAGATTGATTGTATATAAGACTTGTAAGATTGTATATAACTTAGTTAAAGATTGAACAGGATTAGTAACTCTTGTTTTTTATATCCAATTTTTTGTCATCCTGTATGTACAATGACCAAACTTATTATTCCTTGATTGATTTTTAAGTCTAAATACATTTATTTATGCCAATCCCTATTACGCCAATGCATTATAGTTTTTTAAAAAAAATTTATTAAAAAAATTTTTTTTTGGGTAAGATGTTGATAAAAAATGTAAATAAATAAGATTGATGACAATAAAAATCAAGAATTTCCAAATTATTTAAAACAGTTTTAACATTTATGGCAATATTAGTATTTTCAGAAGATTTTTTGTCTTTAAACTTAGAAGAAAAAAAATTAGAGTACTATTCTTAGATTTTTAGACTTTTTATCTAATATTGCTTTGAATTAGCATAAATTATCCATCATAATGAGATTAGGAGATGTTAAGTAGTGTTGAAATGTATTTTCTATGTAAAATAACTTTTTTTGGATAATTTTTTAAAATCAGTTTTTATATAGGATTAAATGAAGACTGGATTCTGAATCAAGAAAATCTTTCAAGTGGAGTTACATTTAATGTTAAGGTAAATAAGAAGAGTTACGTATAATGCTAAGGTAAATAAGTGGAGTTACATAAAATTTCAAGGTAAATAAGGTTTTTTTAATAAAGTTTTAGTATTGAATGTTGACAATAATAATTATGTTAATAAGAGTTTTATTGACATAGTTGACCTCTGAAGTTTGCTTTTATGCTCAGAATTTTTTGATTTTTTGATTTTGCATATCAATTTATATATAAATAAGATAAAAATTTATTTTTATTTATGAAATAGACTAAGCTGTATTTTTATAAAAAGTCAATATCTACATCAAATGTTCCTATGATGTCAAATATTTACTTATACTTCAAACCAAAATGTTTATAATGTTAATAGAATGCAGTACTTGCAGGAAAACTCTGTAAAGTTCTTTTGCAGACCCATAAGGAATTTTTACAAAACTTTTACAAAACTTTTTCATTACTATAAGACTTCCTGTTGATGTTTGTTCATTACTATAAGACTTTATGTTTGTTCCCGTTTATGTTTGTTCAGTAATTGCAGTAAAATGTATCACAGTCTTCGTAATGTTTGTTAAATAAAATTGACCTTTGGCAATCTTACAGAAGCATATTAGTGCATCTTGACTGATGAAGAAACTTGAAAAAAGTTGGTAGAATTTCTTCTATGGTTTTCTGTTTGATTTCTTCTAGCGTGTTATGTGCAATAAGTATAAAAAGCACACAGTCTATTACATTATACTATTACTGGTAATCTAAGGAACATATACTATGATCTGATTTCTTGATTATAAATTTTCTACATTTTGTGCAAAAACTTCATCTTGAGGTACATTACAAAAACAGAATACAGGTATCCTGTGTAACCTGTATTCTGTTTTTATATTTTCCATTTTACATTTACACTTTTTCCAAAAAGTAAACCCTGTAAATGTCATTACAGATGAATTGTCATTAAGAAGTTAATGTCATTATGGAGTTAATATTGCAAGTTATAAATTAAAACAATAATGGAATGTCTGTAAAAACTCAAAAAAATATTGATTGAGTTTTTTTTATGTTTAAGCAACATTGAATTTTATAAAAAGTAATACAATTAGGTTAACAGACAAATCTGACCTGGCAATAAAGTTAAATGAATAAAATCAATATTTTTAATAAAAATATTTTTACTATTAATGCTTAGTCTATTGATTGTAAAAAAAAATAAAGTTTTTTTTCTCACTTGTGTAAAAATAACAAGTTTTTTTTTCTCGCTTGAACTTACAAATGTAAAATCATGACTAGTTAGCTAAAATTTTATTTCATTCATTATTTTTCCTCTTAGATAACCAAATTCTAGTTAATTTGCTTAAATGGTTGCTTCTTATTGCAGTTTTACAGCAAACTTTAGTAAAAAGAGGTTTAAGAATTATCATAGTTGTTAACGACATCATAATAATTTTGTATCTTTACAATAACTATTCCTTAATTAATAAAATTAGTTATCCAAGTAAAAATTTTTTTTTCATTGAAAACTAAAGTATTTAGATTTTCTAGATCAAGGATGGAGTATGTCGGATTATTACCCCATAGTTCCTCTGTATGTATTTTTTTGTCAATATGGATGTCCATATAATTGACAATAATGTCCATTATATTGACATTATTGTCCATTCTGCCCTTATAAGTCTGGCATACTAAACACAATTTATAGTGACACAAGAAAGTTTACTTTAAACTATTAATATGTAATATGTAAAAATATATATTAATATGTTCTTATTATAAATTTTAAACTTTAGCTGTAGCAATAACATGAAATTCTTGCAAAATTAATGCAAAATTCTATAAGCAGGTTTATTAATCATTATCAGTTTATTTGTAAACCGTGGTCTTAACTTCCTGTTGATTTTGATCTTGCAATTTACTTTCATGTTATAGATGCATTTGTTGCAAGTTTTGTTGTAACTTTATAAAGTAAATAGTGATTTGATATATAAAATGATAATGATATATATATATATATATATATATATATATATATATATATATATATATATATATATATATATATATATATATATATATATATATATATATATATATATACAGTAGCGTCCAAAAGTTTGCGGACAGGCAAAAAAATAAGGAGTTTTACTTAAATTTCAGCACATATTTCACTAAAGCCAACATATTATATACCAATTATAAGGTTTCCAAGTTAACAATTATGTTTTGAGCAAATAATAAATATTTAATTATCATTTTAAAATTGGTTAACAAAATGGCGATTTTTGATAAGTTCAAAAGTTTGCGGACAAACTAACGCTTTTAACATTTTCACCACAAAATAGCTAATTTGTTGATTTTATAAACAAATACTTTGTGGAAATAATTTCAAAACTTTATATATAAGTGAATGAGATCATGGGATCTAAGAAATGTATTTCATCTCCAGTAAAAAAATTGATCTTGAGATCAGTTCAGAATGGAAACTCGTTTCGAAAAACAGCACAACTTTATGGAGTTGGTAAGTCTGCTGTTGGACAAATTATGAAGAGATTTGAGCTTACTAGATCTACAAAGAATAAAAATCAATCAGGAAGGCCACGCAAAACAACGCGTTATCAGGATAAAAAGCTTGTAATACTAAGCAAAGAAAATCCCTGTTTGACAGCTGTCGATTTAAACGTACAAATGAGACGTTTCTATGGAATAAATTGTAGTATTTCTACTATAAATCGTTGTTTACATCACGCTTATTTGTTTGGAAGAAGCCCAGCTAAAAAACCATTAGTTTCCTTGAAAAACAGTAACGCCCAAATGGAATTTGCATCAAAACATCTAAAGTGGAGTAGTCGAAAATGGTCAAAAATTCTTTTTAGTGACGAAAGCAAATTTATGCTGTTTGGATCCGATGGAATCAGGTATGTTCGACGTCCAGTAGGTACTAGGTACAATCCTAAATACCAACTGCCTACTGTAAAACATGGAGGAGGTAATGTAATGGTTTGGGGATGTTTTAGCCAAAATGGAGTTGGTCCTCTCCATAGAATTACCGAAAATATGAATCAAGAAAAGTACAAAGATATATGTAAGACTATTATGTTACCATATGCAAAGGATAAAATGCCTCGAGGATGGATTTACCAACAGGATAACGATCCCAAACATACAGCTAAATCAGTTTTAGAGTTTTTTAAAGAGAGTAAAGTTAATGTTTTGAAGTGGCCATCCTAATCACCTGACTTAAATCCCATTGAACATCTATGGGAACATGTTGACCGTCAAATGAAAGGAATTAAGCCTACAAATTATGCTGATTTATTTAATAAAATCAAAGAATTATGGGACTTAATTCCCATTGACGTTTGCATTAATTTAGTTGACTCTATGCCTCATAGATGCCAAGCTATTCTTGATTGTAAAGGATATCCTACAAAATACTAATGTGATTTTGCTTTTGCAAAAATTTTGATCAAATATTGTTGAAATATTTTAATTATTTTAAAAAATAATACTTTGTCCGCAAATTTTTGAACTTATCAAAGACCGTTGATTTGTATACCAATTTAAAAATAATATTTAGATAATAATTCAAAACCTAATTGTAAATTTGAAAACCTTTTAATTGGTATATAATATGTTAGCTTTAGTAAAGTATGTGCTGAAATATAATTAAAATTCTTTATTTTTTTGCCTGTCCACAAACTTTTGGATGCTACTGTATATATATATATATATATATATATATATATATATATATATATATATATATATATATATATATATATATATATATATATATATATATATATATATATATATATATATATATATATATATATATATATATATTAAATATATATATATATATATATATATATATATATATATATATATATATATATATATATATGTATATATATATATGTATATATATATATATATATATATATATATATATATATATATATTAAATATATATATATATATATATATATATATATATATATATATATATATATATATATATATATATATATATATATATATGTATATATATATATGTATATATATATATATATATATATATATATATATATATATATATATATATATATATATATATACAGTATTGGCCAAAAGTTTGAATCCACCTCAAATTTTTAACATAAAATTGCCTTATGCTCACTCCATAAACTTATCGTTACTAAAATGTTACACAACTGTTGTAGATTATCAAAAACATTGTTATGTATTGTTACATTATTAATTATTACAAAATTATCAGTATTTAGTATGGTATCCCTTTGCAGCTAGCACCTGTGCTATACGAGAAGGCATGGAATGCGCCAACTTCTGACAGTACTCCACACTAGTTTCCATTGCCCACAATTCCTGAATTATTCTTTTCAGATGTTTTTCTTGTGATGTTGGATTGTGAGCGGCCACCTTTTTTTTCATAATTACCTACAGATTTTCTATGGGGTTTAAATCAGGTGATGACCCTGGCCATGGTCCTATCACGGAAATATGATTATCCGCTAGCCACTTTGACACTGATCTTGCCCTATGGCAAGGAGCACCATCATGCTGAAAGTGATCCACCTGGTGAATCTGCATAATATTGACCAACTTCTCCTGCAGTATTCTACGGTAGGTCTCAGCATTGATTGTTTTCCCATGTGGCATGAACCGCAAACCTCCTTGTCCATGTTTACCGGAAAAGGAACTCCACACCATCACCTTTGCACATTGCTTCACTGTAGCAATGCAGTATTTGGCATCGTTCCTCTTCCCATCTGGACAACGAACGTGTCGTTGGAAAGTGTAAAATTGATTGAAAGTAGACTCATCCGAAAACATGACATTCTCCCAGTCATCGGATGAGAAATTGCAGTATTTGCGACAAAATGCCAACCGGTCTTGTATGTTTTTTCGAGACAACAGTGGCTTTTTTGCAGGTCACCTTGACTTCAGCCCAGCAAAAAGTAGTCTCCTTCTAATCGTTCGGGTACTGACAATATCTTCAGATGGTAATAATGATTGAATCCTGGCAGAAGAAGACAAGGGAGAGAGCTTGGCACACCTTACAATTGCAGTGTCCGTGCGCATGGAAGTTACCTTTGGTCTTCCAATTCTCCTTCTTGAAAGGTAATTAGAAGTGTTAGGATCAAGGAAACGGCTAATACACTTTTGGACAGCACCAGGAGACACACTTAATTTACTTGCAATTTGCCGCTGACTGTGACCTTCATCAAATAGCAAACAAACTTGAGCACGTTTTACAATGGATAATTCATTACCACGAACCATTGTAAAAATTATCAATAAATTCACTAGAAATACACAAAACACAAAATATACAGCACAAATAGATTAAAAGTATGAGTCAAGTAATTTTTCTAACAATCAATCAATAGTATATCAATATAAACAAATTACAAATCAACAATGCAAAAAATTTTCAGTTTTGGCCAAAAATTTGAGGTGGATTCAAACTTTTGGCCAATACTGTAAATATATATATATATATATATATATATATATATATATATATATATATATATATATATATATATATATATATATATATATATATATATATATATATATATATATATATATATATATATATATATATATATATATATATATATATATAAAAGTAGATAATGAATGACAATGATAATTATGATATAATGAAAAGCTTTTAACAGCAAAATTTTTAGGGCAGTTTCAAATATAGTGCATGACATGGAGATATTGAGTAGACACCAGGCATCTACAGAGAGAGGGCATGGAGGATCCAGACTCAACAACCATGATAGGCTTCCCTTAACACAAACATCTTCACTTAAGTACTTCAAAATATATATTGATGGAAAAACATGGAGTGACATAAATGAGAACAGTTTAAAGAAACTGCAAAGATAAACAATAGTAGCTTCATGGCTATCAATTTTGCATTTTATAATAATGCTTTTCAAAAAATTAAATATAAGAGTTGTAGAAAAATTGAAAACAAGAATGGAACAAGGTTGTTTTCACTATTACATTCATTGATGACCTTTTAACATTGTTCACCATCATCATTTAAAATATTTCAGATCTTAACACTATCAGTTGATAAACATATTTGTTTTGGTTTACTGTGATGTAAATGAGTTGAACAGGTTGTGGCTTTTTATATTTCTTTTAATAAGAGCTTGTCAATTCTTTTTGTTTTTTGATCCACAACCCTTTCTATTGCTTTACTATCAAGTAAAGGTTTGTTTAGCAATTCTATAGGAGTTTGGTAATAAAATTCTAAAGGAGTTTGGTAATTGGACAGTCCATAAAGCAGATGTTTGTCAATCAAAACTTACATGATATTATTTTTTGATGTGAAACAGCTGACATGAAAGAAAACAGTTTAAATTTATGGAGTTGTTGGACCTGGAAAATGAAAGTGGATTGTTTGTGATTAGCTAAACTATTTGTAGTAGTTGTTACATCCAGTGAATTTCTAGTTGCATATAGTATTGGATCCAGTAAATATATATTTTTCTGTTTTCTTCATTAGTAGTTTTCTTTTGTTTTTAACCACTTTAATTTTTATTTTAATTCTGTAGTATTAGTCTGTTTAAATTACATAACTTAATAATATAAAATCAAAATGGTTTTTAAATTTAAAAATTTCATAATATAAAATCAAAATGGTTAATAATATAAAATCAAAAAAGTTTTTAAATTTAAAAATTTCAAAATAAAATCATATTCAGTCCTAAAATTTGTTTGAATTGAATTTGTGTTGAATAAATGTGTTTTTTTGTGGACCACTGTACTGCTATTTGAGAGTAGTTTTGTCACCATTGTTATTGTTTTATGAGATTTGCTAGATTTACTGTTTTATTATGAACTGTATTTAATAAAGACTAACTTTTTGTTTTTCGTAAAGTTTTGGATTATTTTGAGAAGTTTTATTGAATGACACACTAATGTACACATGTCAGCCACCGAAAACCACAGTCAGTCACCGAAAACCACACCTCATAAAAACACAGCACATTTAGTATTTTTTAAGAATACTTGTAGTTATATAGTATTGGTTCCAATTTTAAATGGCTGACAAATGAAGAGATAAAAATTGAGGTGTGCAGTTAACAAACTTGCTCATTTATATGTGGTAGTGAAGTAATGGTAGAACACTCACTTTATTAGCAAAGAGTAAAGATTTCCAACCCACCATGTTTCTGGAAATATCACGCTTAACTTGTTTTTGGTGCAGCTGCCTTGTTTTTTAAAGGTTTTTTGTTTTTAAAGATGGAGTTGTAAGATTGAGAATGTTATTACAAAAAATTGGGGAGGGTGGAAAAGTTAATAAAAAAGTAATCTTTCTGATTATAGTGGTCCCGTAGGCATTGGGGATGTGAATGTATTAATATAAAAAAATATTCAATAAAATAAAAGAATTTTTAAATGAAAAATATTTGATTAGAGAGAGAAAAATATTTGATTAAATATTAGATTAAAATTTTAAATGAAAAATATTTGTTTGATTTTGCACTATTTGCTATAATTTGCTTAAAACTTGACATTGTCAAAAGATTCAAAAAAAAAATTTTTTTTCAAAGTTAAAAATCCTCTTATAATTTTTGTAATAAAAAATGTTGATCTAAATAATAATGCACCTTAAAAGGAAATTTTTATAACCTTTTGACTTACTGTAATTCCTGATTATGTAATTACTAATGAAATGATGGTGGTGACCAGGGATGCGTAGTCTCAATAGGACCCCGGTTTTATAACTTAATTTTTTTATGATCTCTGGTGTCTAGAAGCTCTAAACAATTAGTTGATTAATGATTTGCTATAAGAAAAAAATTTATGATATTAAATGACTTGCAACTTATTGTTTTTAAGCCCGGAGTCCTGGAATCACGGAGTCCTTGTCGCCCATATACCTAATGAATCCGAGATCAAATATTGATTGTTCTTCTGACCTTGAAGTCTTAATTTTTTCTCCAATAGTAGCACATAAGCTTTTATATGTTTTTAAAGCTCCTGGTTACCAAAAACTAGAAAGAAGGAATCTTTTTGTGACTTTTAAATTTGGAACCCTATTTGGGACTCCACATCCCTGGTGATAACGATGATGATAATGATGATGATCACTATTGCCATCATTAATATGATGATGAATATGGTCAAAATAAGTTTATATTATAATTCTTCTTTTGCAGTTTTTAGGTCAAGTTCAAACAAATAGTACTCAAGGCAAAGGTTGCACAGATGAAGCTGTTGAAAAGCTTGTTCAAAATAAGCATGTAAAGTTCATTTTAATAGTTTAAATTTCTTTTTTGTGGAAGTTTTAATTGAATTTTGTTTATTTAAAGTCCTGTATAAATATTAAATTAATAAAAATATTTTTTTAGAATTTTAAAAGTGAGAAACTAAGAAAAGTTTCTTTGACTGTGAACAGTAAAAAACTTTTGATAGTGGATATATTGTCAAAGGTATGTTATTTTATGAGATAATTTTAACTTGGTTTTAATTATGTATAACACTTAGTTAGGCTTTAAGTTTTCTTGTTCTGAGTTTCTTGAAACCTTACACACTTTTTTTTAGGGTTGACTTCAACCAGGACACAAATGTTAACAGGTTAAAGAGTCTAACCTGTTTGTTTAATAAGTTATTTTAGTACGAGGATAATATATCTTAAGTTATTTAGTACTAGGATGATATACCTTGGTGATGTATAATATATAAGATTTATAAAATATATATATAATATATATATATATATATATATATATATATATATATATATATATATATATATATATATATATATATATATATATATATATATATATATATATATATATATATATATATATATATATATATATATATATATATATATATATATATATATATATATATGTATGTATATATGTATATAGTAGTAGTAGTAGTAGTAGTAGTAGTAGTAGTAGTAGTAGTAGTAGTAGTAGTAGTAGTAGTAGTAGTAGTAGTAATAGTATTACTGGTATTTTGAACTGCTATGAAGCTAGTACGCAAACCTGTTGTGGGATTGTAGCAGCCTTTAGAGAAGTATCTGGTTTGCTCTTTAAAGCATTTACTAATGATGTCCGCTCTTGCATTCCAGGGCTACTGGGTTGTTGAAAAGTTGTCTTGGTTGCATCTCACTATTTCTCTATCTTGGTAGCTTCTGTGACCTCCTATTGGTACATTAACTGGTGAGGCATGGTTGTAAGTCAGATTCTATTTTAAAGTTTTGAAACAAGGTCCCATTTATACATCTCTTTTTAAGTGATAAAAACTTGTCACACGAGTAGAGGTCTCCTTGGTAAATTTATCAAGTATTTATCAAATTATTTATTAAGTTCACTAGATACTTTTATTTATCAGTATTTATCAAGTTTTTATTGTCCTTCTAATGTGTTTATCTTTTTACCTTTTCTAATATGTTTATCTTTTTTCAAATAAGGATTGCATGCAGAGACGGCAAATTCAAATCGGTTCTGATGTAGATTTTTAAAAGTTGCTTCAAGTTGATTTGTCTCAAAATAAGTGTTTTTTAATAAACCCAATACTCTGTTTTCTTTCTATGAGCTGATTATTACTTGTTTGATTTCAGGTTGCTTTCTAATGTAACACCTAAATTTCTTTTTGATTCTGTGCAGGGCAGGTTTTTTTGTCCAAGTCTATCATAGAGTATGTATATTTAGGGTTTTTGTGAAAAAAAATGCATTTTGAAGTATTTAATTGCTTTTGTCATGTCAACATTGTTATGTCGCATAAACATTCAGGTTGTTATTGTTTTGATGTTCTTTTGAAGTTTTATTTTGCCATTTAGGGCTGAATTTGGATGGATTAGGGAAAAGAGTTTGGTTTAATCCGCATACTTTTTGATGTAGAGTTTAGACCGACTATTAAGTTGTTTACACATACGATGATAAAAGTTGGATCTAGCACTGAACCCTGAGGCACACCTCTGTACACATCCATCCATTCCGAGCATGTCTCTCCAGGAACTATATGTTGTTTTCTGATTGATACGAAAGTTTTTATCCAGTTGAACAGCTTATCTTTAAAACCAAACATCTCTATTAATAATTTTTGATGAGCTTTGTCAAATGCTAAGCAAAATCAGGAGGTTGGTCACTTATACTGAAAATATGTTTAACTAAGATCTGTTTCTGTTTTTTGCTTTAACTCCAGTTTTAACTCCAGTAAGTACAGTTTAGTTCCTTAACAAACTTCGATTGAAAATGTCTATTTAGTCTAATAGTGTTTCATAGCACTCATTTACATTTTTATGAAAGTATCTGTTGATATTTTGTCAAATTTGCCTACATGAAAATTATAAAAGTTACGATTTTTTACTTTGGATTTTACATTATAATTCCAGAATAATGCTAAATAAGTTAGCTTGGAAACTTTGAGTGGTTCCTTTTGCTACTTTGATTTTAATTTTTTTTTTTGATTTTAATTTTAATTTTTTTTTTTTTTTTCATAATTTTCTTTAAATTTACATTTTTCTGCTTTTTTTGTTTTATTTTATTTTATAGGTTTTTTGATGACTTAAGGTATATGCGTTTGAGTTAAGCCAAATAGATATTCTTCCCATTAGGTAAAGCCCAAACGAAAGCCCAAATAGATATTCTTCCCATTAGGTTCATCACTCCAAAATTTTCCATTCTGGTTTGGCAACATACTATTCAGGTCATTTCTTTCTGATCTTAATTTATATTCTTTCAGAGAAAAAATATAAAAATTAAAAATAGAAAGAAACGAGCTGAAGTTGTTTATACATATGATGATAAGAGTTGGACCTAGGACCCTGAGGTTCAGTCCTAGGTCCAACTCTTGACTCTTTTATTCTCTCTGATAAGACAGTTGTATTTGCAGAGTCAATAAAAACTCTTTTGAAATCAGATTTTTGAAGCTTGATAATTGTCTTTATGCAAGTTTTTTTATTTTATGTATTTGTCATTTAAAATACTGAAAGTGGTAAACCCATTGCTTTTAAAATTTTTACTTCATAAATTATTATTATAACAGGTAGTAATTATAACAAGAATAGTTAAATATAAAACATCAATAATCATTAAAAAACTAATAAATATTTTTACATTTTTTTGTTTGTTTTTTGTTTTAAGGAAACGATTGAAGATTTTCCGCTTCATCAGTATGTTAAAGTTTTTTATTAATTTTTTATTTACTTCACCAGTTTGTTAATGAAGTTATTTATTTTTTATTTACTTCACCAGTATGTTAAAGTTTTTTTAAAGGATAGTTACTATGAGTTACTTAAAGTTATTTTCAATTGTTTTTTTTTTCTTAAAAAAAGAATAATTAATATATATATATATATATATATATATATATATATATATATATATATATATATATATATATATATATATATATATATATATATATATATATAATGTTATCTCTTTTATAAGTAGATATTTAGATAACATAAACATCATTTATATACAATTAACTGCAAAAAAAACTTTTAATCTATGAGCACTTTTTATCACATTTTGTCTTTAACTACATTTTTATCTCTTTTTACTTTGCTTATACTTAATGAGTTGCACTAGTGTTCTTGTGAGATTTGTCTCATTAATGCAATAAATACTCTCTCTAATGTCTCCGTAAAGTTACTGTTGAATTTTAATTTTTCTGCTTTAATACTTTTTAACCATTTTCTGGGTGTTACTTTATTTATATTTTTAACATATTTTAACTCTTTTCAGGTAAAGGTATTATTTCCTTTTATTTTTCACAGGGTTTCATATTGTACAGCAGATCCAAAGTATGATAAAGTTTTTGCTATGATTGCAAGGAAGAAAACAACAAAAGATGTTTTTATTTATGCTTTTCTTACAAACAAAAAATCCATGGTAATATATTAAATAATATTCATTTTTAATTTTATAATACCTTAATGTGATATGCAGGGCCGGCGCGAGTAGGTGTCACGTGGGGGATGGAACTTTTGTCAACTTAAAAAAAAAAAGGTCCTCGTTTTTTAAAATTTGCCGACTGCCATAACTTTATTTGAGGACTAACTGTCTAAATATTTACCGACTAACTTGTCGAAAGGGTCTACATTTGCCAACTAACTAGTCAAAAGAGGGTCAAATTTGCTGATTAAATGAACGAAAAAATTTATGCGGCGGTCACACCCCCTCCCTCCCTCTCCCCCCCCCCTCCCCACACACACACACACTCACCCATTGTGCCGGCCTTGGTGATATGCCTCTGTGGTACTACATAACACAGTAAGCTTAGTTCTGTGGTATCATAATGCACAAGGCCTCTGATTCTCTAATCATAATCTTGATTAAATGAAGAGTATAAGTGTTTTCTTACAGGAAGCCATCTTCATCTTCTTTCATCTTCTCTAATCTTTCAGGCAGAAGCCATTTCCCTAACAGTGGCTCAAGCATTTACAATGGCATATGAAGAATGGGAGGTAATAAAAGTTTTTTGATTTTTTCACAGACTTTAATAATAATCTTTAGTTTTTTATATTTTTTAATGATTTAGGAAAAAAGAAAATCTTACAGAGAAGAAATAGAAATTAATCAAAATAATAATGCTAGTGAATTATATAAAAACCTTGGTCAAACTAGTAAGTTAGGGAGGTCGGAGGAAAATAGTAATCGGAGGAGTGAATATGAAAAAAACCATGTGACCACAGAAGAAGAAAATTTTGCATTTATTTGTAAAAATTTACAACCTGAATTGGTAAGTTTTTAAGTAGTTTTTAAGTTTTAAAGCACATAAATATAAATAATCACTTGTCTGTCTGAATCCTTTCCTTTTTTTACTTGACCCTGGTAGTACCGCGCTCAACTTGTTTCTCCATGCAGCGGGGTTGTTCGTCAAGGTTCGTGTTTTAGAGTTATAGAGTTGAGAGAAGGTTATAACCACACGTAGCCTCTTCATCTGTAGTGGCCTTCTGAGCCTTGGGGAGGTGAATTAAAAAAAAAAAAATTCAATATAATGTTTTAAGTGATGTTTCAATTAAATTTACTTTATTTACTTTAGAATGTTAGTTTTATTAATTATTTATTTATTAATTATTAGTTTGTTTTATTAATGTAGATATCTGCATAAATGAAAGAAACCAGTTTTGCACTTTAAAAATGAAAAAACTTTGCTCTGTTTATGCATTGAGTTTATGAATTGTGTTTGATTATCTGTCAAATCAATAACCTTAAAACTATTAAACAATGCAAGTTTTGTTAATGATATAAATATTTTTATACTATTAACAAAACTTTGTTTAATAGTTTTTTAAATTTTTAGTCAAAATCTGTAATAATTATTTTTTAGGTAAAAATTCAGTAAATAATATCTAAAATTGATTGTGTTATTTATAGTTGATGTTTTTTCATTAAAATTTTTTTCTTTTCTGTGTTTTCTTCCCCAACTGCCACTACTGTCAATGTTCATTTTAATTTTTTTTTAAACTTTAAACTGCAGATACAATCCTCTAAAAACCCTTTAAAAAAACTTGACAAACAAGTGTTTGTCATTACTGCCACTTACCTAAGGCTTTTTGAATTAATAAATCTATGATTAAGAAAATTGTTTGAGAGTATGTTTTTATTTCTTCTTTAAGTGTTTTTACTCTTTTTAAATCTTGTTTATTTATAAGTGTTCCTACTTTAGCTTATTTTTTTCAATGTTTGTTAGGAGATGATCATATTTCTCATGTTACTTCGTTTCAATCAAGTTGAAGTTAAGTCTAAATGTGTGTGTATATATATATATATATATATTATATATATATATATATATATATATATATATATATATATATATATATATATATATATATATATATTCGCTGAAATTCTTTCTGATTCTGTGCAAAGTTCTGCACAAGTAGAATCTAATTTAAATAAAAGTAAAAGTTTTGATTTGCAGATCTCTGTATGACCTTTACTTTATATAATTTTAAAAATGTCAACTAAATCTTTTAGTTGCATAAGTACACATTTATCCTAAGACCAGAGAAATATTTCTTATATTTTCTAAATCCGATAAATAAATATAATTATTTTATAAATTTTTTAAATATATTTTCTAAATACTTAAATAAATATAAAAACTTTTTTACTTGTTTCGTTTTTAATTTTATTTTAAATTGATTTTAAACGCTTCTTAAGTTTAACGAAAATTTTGTGCTTATCTTTGAAACATTGAATCAAATAAACCTTTTCTCCCTTTAAAAAGAATGTAATTAGTATGTAGTTTATGTGTATAAAATTAACGTTACATATACATTTTTTTTTACTCTTTTCAAAGTTCTTGTTATAAATAGTTGTACTTTATTTTTATTGGTTTTTTGTTTCATTTTAATGTTGATATTATTAAGTAATAATATTTTGTAGGAATTAAGTTTTCCGCTATGATAAAGTTTTTTTGTTATAGATTGTTGATTCTATTCATGAAGATGAACTTGATGTAGAAGATGCTTTTATATCGTGAGGCTTTTTTTGTAGTTTGAGCTTTGTAAAGTTAAGTTAATGAGTATCTTTTATTAATAATTTTCGGTTTATGCAGGTTAGCTAAGTCAAGAACACAAATGTTGGATACTGGACATGTTCGAAAAGAAACGTTCCAAGGTGACGTTACAGATTTCCTTTCAATGAATAACACTTACCAAGATCTTGTTCATGCCAAATCAACAGAAGATCTGTTATCAGTGTCTTTAAGTGAAGAATTTTTTGATTCCCAAAAATATCCTGTATCAATACCAACCAGCGATGATTTAATAAAATTTTAATAAAACATAATCATAAAACGTAATATTTGAATAGATAAATAAAGCACCTATTTATAAATGCCAACTATTACTGGTCAATTGTTGAAAGTAATTAAAATGCGAATATTTTTTACTTAAACAATTTTGTTTTTTTTTAGTGTTGGCTTTACCAAATCAATGTTAAATTCACAAACCGATTTAAATAAATTAAATTCTGAAAAATTAATTGAAATTGATGACTTTCAACTAATTCTTTTTCAGTCTCAAATACTTAATTTATTCTATTCAAAATGATTTTAACTTTATTTTTTTCCCCCTTATACCCTTTATTCCTCTTGTGTAATGTAATCAATAGTAAAATCTTTGTTTATAATTAAATATTTTAATTTATTATAATTAATTTATAGTTAAGAAAATTTATCAGTTTACGCTGTTAACCATTTTGTTGCGTGAACTGATTCTTTAAATACAAGATGTGATATTAGATAATATGAGCCTTAGCTGGTGTCCAGTGGGACAAACTCATTTCTAACAAGATGTGATATTAGATAATACGAGCCTTAGCTGGTGTCCAGTGGGACAAACTCATTTCTAACAAACAAATATTTTTCGACGAGGGACTATGTTTTTTTTTTCTAGCTTTTTTTGGTTTAAAAATAGTTTAAGTTTTTTATTCAATTTAAATTTATTTTATATAAATGCTTATTTGCTCTAATTAAAAATAATTTATGTTTTGCTTGATTTCCAGTTAATGAATTAGTTCTTTTTGAACAATTAATTAGTTCGTTTTAAACAATGAATTGGTTCTTTTTGACAATTAAATTAACAATGAATATCACTCAATTTTCGAGACAACTTTGATGTAACTATTTTTGGAACTTTGGTTTAAATTTATAATCGAAAGAATTTCTGACTTTGGTTTAAATTTATAATCGAAAGAATTTCTGACTTTGGTTTAAATTTATAATCGAAAGAATTTCTGACTTTGGTTTAAATTTATAATCGAAAGAATTTCTGACTTTGGTTTAAATTTATAATCGAAAGGATTTCTGACTTTGGTTTAAATTTATAATCGAAAGAATTTCTGACTTTGGTTTAAATTTATAATCGAAAAAATTTCTGACTTTGGTTTAAATTTATAATCGAAAGGATTTCCGACTTTGGTTTAAATTTATAATCGAAAGAATTTCTGACTTTGGTTTAAATTTATAATCGAAAGAATTTCTGACTTTGGTTTAAATTTATAATCGAAAGAATTTCTGACTTTGGTTTAAATTTATAATCGAAAGAATTTCTGACTTTGGTTTAAATTTATAATCGAAAGAATTTAAGATGAAGTATCAAAATATTATTTAAATAAAAAAAAAAAACATTTTTTTTTTCCAATAATATTTTTACATGTTGAAAATATATTTATATATAATAAAAAATTAGTATTTAACAAAGAAGCTTACAAAAAACAAATTTTTAAAAAATCACTAACTAAATTTTTAGACTTTAAAATACCCTTTTAAATAGTTTTTTTAAAGCAATTTTGCATTAATAAGCATGGGTTGGGTGGGAAAATTTTCCGATAATTTATAAACGCATATTAGGCACTTAAGAGTAGATAGTTCGCTCCATAATTTTAATACTTGAATTGTAAAAAAACTGATTCACTATTTGCTCACTAATTACATTTTTCAAGAGTTGAAAAAAGAACCGTATTTAAAGAAACTTTAATTTCGGTTTTCTTTTGAGTTGATTGAAAATATTGATTTATATGTTCTACAATATTTTTTGGATTTGTTATAATATTTATATTATATTTTTTCTATAGTATTTTGTAATTTCTCTCGAATTCCATAGCTTTAATGAAGTTTTTTGTTTGTTGTTTGGATTTAATATATAAAAGTACAAAGATTTTGGGTTTGTTTCAGTATTTTTTGCAATATTCAAAGTCTTATACTGCAGTCTTTTTTTTGAAACATTTTCTCAGCTTCATTTAAACATCTTTATTGTTCAAATTTCTAGATAATAAGCAAAGTTTTTTTTTTTATTTAATACAAAGTTTTAGTTTTTTAACCAACCTTTTTTTTATTTGTTTTGAATTTTTGTTTTTTATGGTATATTTTCTCGACATGCTATATTGTAATGTTAAAAGGTGATTTTCCACTCATCCGTTTTTATTTTGACATAATTTCCAGCTTTATAAAGAAAACATTTCAGTGCATTATTTAAGTTATAACTTTCTTTTAATAAAAAGTTCCATTTAATTATGCATGACCTTGGTTTTCATTGCCAAATGGTAGTAATTGGATGACATTTAAACATAATATTTAAACACTATTTATATCGTCAATGATTGATAGATCTAAAACATTTTTCAATTCTTCATTAAACTTTTAAAAAGTTCTTCGATTATCTGGTACAAAAAAATCTCCTCCAAACAACTAATAAAATTCTTTGCTTGTTTCTTTGTGTTCAATATACTGTCATTAAACGATGGTATTGAATTGTAATTAAACCACGGTATTGAATTGTATTTAAAATCTCCAACAATTATTAAATTTGAGAACTGCTTTTGTTAAACTAATAATGTGGCCACACTTATCGATTTGATAATTTCGTAATTTATTTTCTCATTTTTATCAGGTGGTCTTTAAATACAGCCTAAGACCATGTCATTTAGACCAACTTTAACATTTATTTATATTTGCTCGGGTACATTGTCTCCATCTCATTCAATCTTAAAGTATTTTTAATACATACATAAATAAATACTCTACGGGTCTGGCGATCATTTTTTATATATTTAATAATTTTTAATATAAACGTCAGTTCGAATTATACGTTGATTTTGCAAAACAACGAAGATCAGGAGTTCTGACGTCATCAATATTGTTATTCAAAGATGCCACATTCGTAAACCTAAGCAATAATATCGCATCAATATACACGATAATACTGCATCAGGAGAATTTTTACTAACTGATGTAGGGAATATCTCATTTGAATCTTACGAAAGTTTACCACCCTTTAAACTTGAATTATTATTAGAATTACAAACTGGAGTACAATGTTTAATAAAAGATTTATTTGCTAATCTTTCAATAACTTGTTTTTCATTTAACTCAGTTTCAAGTCTATTAAGGAATAGAAAATATTTTAGTTGTTATTCCAAATCGCATAATGAAAATTCATAATTTTATTATTTACTAAATTTTTGTTTAATTTCTTACGATTTCTTTCTTTAATCGATGTTTTTTGAAATTCCCGTTGCGTTGGTTAAGTTAAAAACTTTGAGTACTTTTTTATATTTTTCATGATTCTTTAATCTTTTCATTAGAATTATTACCATAAAGTTTTCTTTGTTATATTTCAGTTCAATTATGCATTACTTATAATTATGGATAATTATGGAGCTGGATTATATATGCTGAAATCTTAAAATTTTTGATTTATCCACACCAATTTTATCAAGCATTTCATCAATTGCGTCCTCTATCATCAGTTTGTTTTTCGAATATGAACAATTTACTTGATTCTACTATTACAAAAACAATGACATTTTTTTTTTCTTTTAATATCACTTGTTCAATACATACTGACAGCACTTAAAACTTCAGGCGTGTTTGCTTTATTTTTGAATTAAATGGAATTAAAAATAAAGATGCTAATTTACATCTGATCGTAAAACCTATAGTAACTATTATAAAATTTCTGGTAAGATCTGATACAATCATAAAACCTCTGGTAACATATCATAAAACCTGTGGTAACATCTGATACTAATATAAAACTTCTGGTAACTACAAAGGTAAAGTAGAAATATTTTTTAAAGTCAGATAAAAAGTAAAGTTTATTTTTTGATAAAAACTTTTGTTCTAAAATGACCTAAATTAGAAAATAATAGAAAAAATAGAAAAAAAAGAGCGGAAAAATTGCTTACATATCTTATAATTATGCTTCATAAAAAAATAAAAAAACTACGGCTCCCCCTCCCCTCGGGACGCTACTGACTACGGACTAAAGTCAAAAATCAGAGCAGGACTCTTTTAGTTTGCTCTTGTTAAAAGGAAAACGTTGTTATTAAGGTAGTTAAGGTCCTTGGTGATAACAGGTTCTAATTTAACTGTCCGAATTTTCTCAGTATTTTGTTGTTCGAAATATCTCCATCAGAATGAAACTTGAAATTTTGAAAATTAAAACTTATAAAAGGAAAGTTCCATTTCTTTGCTCAATTTTTTTCTTTTTCTTTGTTTTAATAAATAGAAGCTGGGACTTAAAGCTGTCTATTATGATTTTCTTAAAGAACATAATAAAAATAATTTTATCAATTTTAGGCTACCTGAATCAATTCCGTGCGTGGCTTCCTTGCATGATTCATGAGCTGGATTTAAACGATTGCTGCGACAACATCATTTACTACCAATTAAAGAAATACCACAAAAATATGTACAAATTTAGAGTTTGCATTCTACTCAAAAGTTACTCTAAGGCTAAATAATCCTTAATTAAAAACAAGTTGGACAGCATCACTCTTCAAGCTAACATTAACAGAGCATTGGAATGGTCACACATTTGGCTTATGAATTTTAACATTGAGAAATGCAAAGAAAATGCATGTTGGCTGCGCATGTAACAAGTCGACGCGAAGTTACTCAATGGCCAACGTTGACGGCTAGCATTGTCCACTCGAAAAGACTGTAGTCGAACGAGACTTTGATGTGATAGTCTCCAATAACCTTAACGTCAGGCCACAAGTAGAGTCAGCCGCATCAATTGCAAATAAAATGCTTGGGCGACTGAAAAAAAATTTTGCAGTTGCATTTTTTATTTATAGCTCACATTGTATCTTATTTACATTCGCCCCCACCTTGAGTAAGCTGTACAAGCCTAGTCGCCGTATTTATAGTCCAAAATTGCTATCATTGATCAAGTCCAACATCAAGCAAAAAAAATAGTATCATCCATTAAACAACTGTCCTATAAAAATCAACTCGAACAGCTCGGTCTAACAACACTTGAAGAACGCCGCAAAAGGGCAGA